ACACACACACACACACACACACACACACACACACACACACACACGTATATACACACACACACCTCGTACAATCACTGTTTAATGAGGTTGCTCTACATTTAACTATTAAAATCCATGCAATGACATTTAGATATGGCCAGACTCTTCTTTGCATACCTTGGCTGGTTCTTCATCTTCAGAATCTGAGGAACTATCTTCGCTGCTCGCCGGCTTTTTCTGAGCAGCAACTTTAGCAGGAACGGCTGGTTTGGGTGTTGTGACGGAACCAGCCTTGGGTTCTAATAATCAGAGGGAAATTAGATGAAACATTTCATTATCAGCTCAATTTTAGTTCACAATTCAAAGCGGTTGATGACACAATATTAATGATGTCTGGCTCTAAACTCACTCGGTGTAGAGGGTTTGGCGGGCTGCTCAACCTCAGAATCGGATTCTTCACTGCTAGAGCTGCTGTCTTTCTTCCTTACTGCAGCAGGCGACTTCACAGGAGCCTTTGCGCAGAAACAAAATCCTTTAGCATAAATGCACAAGCTTAGCCTTCAACCAATGACTAGGTCACTATAATTTGGATGTTTCCTCCTACTTTTGCAGGTGTCTTTGCAGGAGCCTTCTCTTCAGAGTCACTGGAGTCTTCACTGCTGCTGGATGCAGCTTTACTAGCTTTACTAGCTTTACTAGCTGCTGCTGCTTTAGCAGGCACGGCCTTGGCTGCTAAAACAAACAGAAACATAATCTGATAATGCGGTACAAAATTCCAGAATGGCACATTACTGACACAATTCGACCAGATTTATCAGTTCTCCATGTCAAACAGATCGACATTACCTGCAGGGGCTGCATTGGTTGGTTTCGCAACAGCTTCTTCATCCTCGCTGCTGGAGCTCTCTGCACTGGTTTTTGCTTTCTTGGCTGACGGACCGCTTGCAGCTTTACCCTTGTTAGGAGGCACCTTTCGTTTCCTGGCTTCGGGCGACCTAGGAAGACCCATTGTTACATTAAAGCTCACATTGTGTTTTTGCCCGGTTTCCCCTCAACAACAGAGGAGAAGAGCGACAGAGTGTATCGATGAGAGATCCTGGAGCTGCTGCTAAGGGAGCAAATAAAGACTAGGATAGTGGGACTGCAGCAGTGGGGATTCTATATATTAATTAATAAATACAGCAAAAATGGGTAATGACTGGCATCACCATAAATGTACTAGTGTTAACCAAATGACAAACTGTTGTCCATACGTCAGATGTTAAATTAGCTATTAACGTGTTTTTAAATTATATACACAAGGCTATTCTCTACTTAATTGTAAGCTTGATGAGCTAACAGAGTATCACAAATTCAAGGGTTTGCAGATCATTTAAGTTTCACCTCGTAATGTGACCAGTTTAAGCACTAATCTGTGAGGGAAACATGTGCTTATGTTTGCACATGTTCACTTTAAAATACAAAACAGTGTTCAGTATGCTTTGAGGCAGATTTGTGCTCTGGAGGGATTCTGAGAGTAGACAACAAATCTGGTCAGCCATGAGAGCATTTGATAGAGGGGGGGGGGGGGAGATACTTACAACGCTGGTAGGCCATATTTTCAAAGTATATTGATATTACTAAAAACGTAATAAGCTTTGGCATTGGCTGAGGGACGAAAATGAGAATAAGCAACTCACTTCACCCAGAAGTCGTAGATGTTGAGGAGGCTCTCGTCATTTTGATCTTGATGAGTCTGTAGAGAAACACGTGAAGCACCAACGTAGCCCAACAAGTCCATCAGTTTCAAGGTTTACACAATGTAACAATCAGTTGCAATTTCCCACAATGCAAACCCCCCACTGTATGATTCGCATTTACAATGTAACAGATGCGAACGTTAATATTTGCGTTAATAAGTGGTAGATGAAACATAACTTGTGCACGTGCCCCTACACGTGTTAATTTAACCAGTGGCTGCACGGTCACTGTACGTTACATAGCTATTGTTGTAGTTTTACTCCTCGTGCAGCAACTTCACGTCAAAGCTATAGACAACACGACAGGCCGCTTACCACTTTAGTCTGTTTCAGAAACTGCTGAGCCGCCTTTGTGAACTTGTTCTCCAGCAGGAATGAATATACGCATTTGTAAAGATCACTCGGCTTCGCGTTTTGTTCCGCCATCTTCAACACGCTCCTGGAAGGAAAGGAAGTGAACGGAACATGTGAGCATGTGCGTAGGCGCCTATTGATGACGTTACCATGGTCTTCAAAAGCGTACACGACTTTGGTTTTTGAATAAGAGTTTGAGGCATTTTAACCTATGTTTTGAAGCATTTGTCCATGGTTTGGACACAATTCATTCATGTTGTGCATTTATAAAAGTTACAGCTCTGTTTAAAAAAAATATCTCGGTCTTGTAGCATCAGGAAGTCTCGTGACACCTCATTAGGAATCTCAATTTCCTCCCAGGATTTGTTATTCATTCAAAATATATTCGTTTAGTGGGAGTTTATTAGTAGCACCACATTTATACTCTCCTATTTTCCAGATTTGATTTGTCATTTTGTTATCAACATAGACGCAGACTTTATACGTCATCACCAAAGACCTTCCTCGTCCCTCGTGTCATAACATGGTCGCCTAATCTGGCAATGACACGGACCCACAGCCATCTGAATTAAACGTGCGAATCGAGGATTTCTTCGCCGAAGCCATGCCTCGCTACGAACTGGCCCTGATCCTGAAGGCGATGCAGCGGCCGGGGACGTCGGCTGCTCTCCGGCGGACAGTGGAGACTTTGATGGAGCGGGGCGCGGTGGTGAGGCACCTGGAGAACTTGGGGGAAAGACTGTTGCCCTACACGATAACCAAACACAATGAGAGGCACAGCCGAGGGGGATACTTTCTGGTCGATTTCTACGCAGCCCCCAGCATCCTCACGGGCTTACTGGATCATCTGCACCGCGATGTGGACGTGGTGAGGCCCACTGTGCTGAAGAAGGACGACCAGGTTCCCAGCAGTAACTGCTGTGGCCCCCAACAGTGATCGAATGTAAGGAGTGGTTGATGTGTGGCCAAGTGCATCGGTGCTAACCATGTGTCTGTTTAAAAAGTAAACCCACAGCTGGTGCAAGAATGTCGTTTTCACTCACACTAGTTTGCACAAGTTGCTAAAAGGTTGGGACTCTTGTGTCATAACTGTTCCATGCATGGATGTAGTGCTGCAATTAAATCATATTTCCATCATTTATTAACCTTCTTAATCAATGATTAAATAATTTCTTCAGTAAAATGTCAAACACAATGATACATGCCTATCACAGGTTAAGATGGAGCTCAATGTGATAAAGTAAAAAGCTGCAGTTTTCATTCTATATTATAAAACCAAGAAGGTCAAACGAGCCATTGCAGTTATGAAGCTGTGCCATCCAATGTTTTGCTGTTTGCACGAGGGGTTTAAGAAAATATCGATACGCTTCAGTGTCGCAATATTTTTTGTGATATGGTATTGATTCTCAAAATGGTGTCGTTTCCATGCAAAAAATCACAGCAGACTGGCTGAGAGTGCACTCAAAGGAGTGCTGTGGCATTGAATGTTACAGGCACCGTGATAAATATAAATGCAGATCTCACTGTTCTGAGAGCATAGAAAGCTAAACTTTTTTTAACTCAGATTTTGCATTATGAATGTGTGTTCTATAATCTATGACAGTTTTCTTAGAATTGGACCGTGAGGATTTCTGGGAATCCCTGATGAGGTCTTTAAACTAGCTTTTGTCAGGTCGGTCCCATCTTAGAACAGTTCACACATCGCGCTTGAACGTGGATTTGCGAGCGCCGAGCCAAAGCAGACTTGCCTTTGATCGATGAGCTCCAAAAAACAGTGTGTGAAGACAAAGTCAGAGCTTACATTTGTGTAGTGTGGTCTAAGTATTACAGTATCACCATATTGAGTATTAACCCATGTATCGTGATACTTATCGTATCGCGAGATTATTGCCAATAAACAGCCCTAGTCTGCATATATTAGTTGACAAACACAAGGTCATGGACTTGCCAATTCATTTACTAATCATTTCAGTACAACCTGGTTAACAAGGAACAATGAATAGAAAGGGCCCAAAACCATGCATACACACATTTATTTTCTCGGCAGCTATAAGGCAATATAAGGCAGCAGGTCCGTCCCTAAAATAGATGGATATATATGGATAGCCATGCTGTTTTTATCAACTAATAGGTTAGTGGAATTAATCTAAAAATCTGTAAAAAAAAAAAAAAAAAGTTTAAGTATTGACATCAAGCTGTTGGTTAAAAATGCTATCAGCAATAAGAGTGATGTCCAAAGTGACCACTTAGGCAACTATCAGACAGATACGTGTGTTGCTATTATTGATTTGAGGACTCTGTGCCCTGCCTCATATGTGTTCTGTCTTCTTGTATGTGAAAGTACGCTTAGACTTAGGACATGAAAGACACATGCTTGTCTCTGCTCAAGGGTACCTTAGGGAATAAGTCACATGCTTATGTAAATAGAACATGCACTACAGTGAAAGACGTAATGCAGTTGGCCTCCTTGTAGCTAACAATCGTGAATAAAGAAGAACTCCCCAGATAAAGTAGATCAGTGTAGGCCAATTAACAAGAAGTTGCCGTACAGAAATGCTAAAAATATGTGAATTACGAAATGTTGTCGCCTTTGCATAGTTTCTCAAATGTACATTTTCATTCAACTGTAAAATGTCATGCTCCACATATCTTTGTCACAATTCTTTATGAATCAACTGTAGTGGATTTGTATCAAAATGTTATTGGGATGTTTCAGAGCAATCTTACAATGACTTCATTAAATGTGTTCATGCAGTCAATGTCCTTTACCTTCTGTTTATGGAGCTCATGCTGTGCTGACCGTGCTGTAACTTAACCCAATGTAATATTTGTTCCCTTTGTTTTACAGGTTTCCACCGCTCATATCCAGACCGTGTACAGTGTGATGCTTCCCTATTTGATCTTTTCCATTGGTGTTGACCTACATTTTGAAGTTATATCATAATAAACTACTTCTCTTTCTCATTTGCAAGTTTTCTTGACTATTTGTTAAAACATGTTCGGCATGTGCACCACATAGTGTTAAATAATGTGATAGCAGTTTCAGTTCTTTTTATTCATTTGGCTAGACAGTGCAGTTCTGAATTCTTGTGGTTGAGTAGCATTTCGGACTTGGAGAACACACTGTACGTAATAAACAACTGCCACTGAGCTTCCAAGCCTGGGTATTTTCTCCTCATTGGATCAAATTAAACAAACCCCCATTTATTTCAAGAGACCAAGGCTACCAGTGTTCTCCCGGGACTTTCCGGGGCGCGTTTATCTTAATTAGCTGGAATGGCAATTGTGTAAATCCACCTTTGCTTGGCCGTGTCTAACCCCACTACAGTCATCGCACACCATGCATTTATGAAGTGGGGACAATTTACATTACCGATTTTAATTCAGTAGGTAGGAATTAGCATTGACTTGTGTTGTCTTATAAATACATTTCTATTTAGATAACATTAAGAAAACATTTTTTAATCAACTATACAGCCACCACTGGAAAAACTGTCTGTAAAAACCCTAATGTTTAGTGTAGTATCTGATAATAACCCCTGTGTTACTATTAAACATATATCAAACATGCACTATTAAACATCTCACTTGTTTTACGCACCTGGCTGCAGGAGGCAATACTTTTCAAACTGTTTTAAGAAATCTTATGTATAAATGTATTTGTGGGCTTAATGACTGAAAATGTCTTGGTTTTATCCAACATAAGGTTTAGTAGCACACAGCTGTGGAGACATTGGTACAGCTGTCTCTTTGTAAGGCATTGCTAGGCCTGTGCACTTTTATTGTTAATATTTGTCTTATATGGGCCCTGAGTCTGAAATAAAGTTTGATTGATTGATATATATATATATATAAGTATATATATATACATATGTGTATTTAAAGACATTTATATTCAAATTAATTCAAATTAAAATGTCTTTAAATACGTTCTGATCTTTAGAAGCTTGTATGATCACATCAGGCAAAGGCCAAGGCAGTCACATGTCTGGTTGAGTAGTCAGCTGACGGTGAGACGTCATAAAAGCAGATCCACGGGCCTCCGTCTGCATTGCAGTGTTCACAGCTCACCGGATAGCTTCATCCACCACGCAGAGACGAGCCAGAAAACTGCTGAGTCATGCTGCTCCTAACTCTACTTTTCGTGTCCTCAGGTAACGTTAACACGCAGGGAAATGTTGTCTCGTACAAAGTCGGTGATACTGCTCAGACAGCGGTCAATGCACTGTACAGTGTGTCTGGTTGTGTAACTACGTAGCTCACGCGAAGTGCGTTACAACACGAGAAGGCGGAAGCCTTTCAAGCAGCTCTTGTAAACACTAACAAATCGGACTACGTTAACTTCAACAGAACGCGCTGCTTTGTACCGAAGATATGTTGGTTTTTAAATGCAGACGTCGGGTGTTTGTCCTCATTAAATGAATATGCAACATTAAATCTATAAACGAGGTCTGTTCTGTGAAGCTCGGCGGTTTCCTTTTGAGGTTTTGAGGCGTAATTGTTGGCCCGCTCGCTAACGTTAGCCAGATATCGCTAGTTATTAACACTTATTCCACTTTCGTCTATAGTTAGAACTTGTCTTAAATACGTATTTGTTGTTTATAGGCACATCCCCATAAATCTAGCTACATCAGCAGCTAACGTTAGCTTAGTAACACATTCGGGTGCGTGTATGTGTTCATTTTTTATCAATAAAACGTATCTTTGTTAGGGCTGATGCGTCCTAACTTGCCTGCTTTGACCAGACAATGAATGTGCCTTTTTATTTGTTGACCCTTTTTCTGGTTGAACGAGGACGTTCAGATAGGACCCTCTAAACCAGCCACTTTCATTTCAGCTTTTCAGTCAAAGGTAAATGCAGTTTTAAAGCTGTTTTCGATTTTTGTTCCTCAAAATGTCTTTGTAAGTCAGTGGGAACTGTTGCCACTATTTGTCTCCACGTGCACGCTCTGGCACCAAGAGCTGAGCTGTTTGTACTTTATGTTCCGACAAAACCGGGACAGGGAAATCAGCAGTTGCCGAAGTTATTGCTGCCATGCATAACATGGCTTCATGGCTTTTAATAAGATTAAGTGATGACTTGACCCTGCGTTATTTGAAGTATGGATCTGAAATGATTCACCAATGACCTGTTTCTTCTTATCAAAACACAAGCTGTGGTTCTTGCAGTATTGATTCCATCAAGTCTGTGCTTTGTGTATTTTGTGCTTATCTTCAATCTGACTTCTGGTTAAAGAATAGTTTTCATTTAATGTCGTCATTGCTCTTGCACATTCTTTCATGTGACTGTAATAGGATTAGGGTTCACTTATGATGTTGAACCAGTGTTATGTTGCCTTCCTATTTAACTGATGTCTCTGCTACACAGAAACTCTTTCTCAGGCCACCAGCTGTTGAACAAAGCAGTCTGAATCTTGCTTTAAGCCCTCTGTGCTTCAATGTGACATGTGATGCTGATTCACTGTTTTGATGAGATCTGTTTCAGAATCACGGTCACAGGAAGTGAGTCAAACATAGGCCTGGACATTTGTACTAGTACCTTTTCTCTAACGAATGACTTGTTTTTCTGCAGAGTATCATAACACGAAGCCAACAAGTATACAAGACGCACTTCTCTCGCTGTGTATTGCCTTGTTAACAGTTTATTGGTGTGTGGACATGTCCTCCTTGTAGCCCGTCTGCTTGGGAACAGTTTGTTATTTAGTCAGACTGCTCATGTGACTAGTGGAGGGTGGGGTGGGGTGGGGGGGGGCCCTTCCTGTCTCCTAGTGGTGTAACTGGGTTATATGAAGATGTGTTGACCTCCGTTGCCAAATCATGGTTGTTATCACCAAAGGCTATTCTCTGGACTCGGCAACTTTTGCATTTTAACGGTATTCTAGTTATAATTTCAATTTCTGATTTATGAGACGTGACTATCTGATTCTAGCTCTGTTTTTCAAGCAGGTTGTGAAACCAGGAAAGATGCTGCAAGCTATTGGGTTCTTTCCCATATGACTTTTTCCACTTCAGTAAAATGGAGAACTGAAAAGATTACCTCCCTATTATATATATATATATATATATATATTTTTTTTTTTGCATTGGCCCACTAATGCCCCTTTCAGCACACATGGTGTTTATGTAAATGATTGGGTGGTATTTCTTCTTGGTCTGTTGCTTTCTTACTGGCTGGCTGTTGCTGGGAGATAGTGTCAGATTGAGAGGTATATGCTAATGCGACTTAACGGTCATAGCTAATAGGATTTACTGTGTTTTTCCGTGATTGCAGTTATAAAACAGTTTCAAGAGTATTTACCCACAATCCTCAGTGTTGGAAGTACTTCAATCTTCAACATATCGTAACATTTTTGTCTTCCCTTTCTACAGGTTTGTTCTTCAAATCAAACCTGCCGTTACAAAGTTGAAAGTGAATTCTTAATAAGTTCCTCTTTTGTTTTAATGTTATGAGGAAGTATGCCACCCTTGAGTTACCCCATGTGGGTCCCACTGGCCCCCCCAGGAAGATCAATTTAATAACCTCAAACCAATGCAGGCAGTGGTTTCTAAAGAAAGAAACCGAATTTGAAGTCTGCAGCATAAAAGACTATTTTGGCTTGTGCCTTGTTTACCTCCTTTAAGCAGTAATATGATATCAGGAATAAGGTTTTGTTACGCGTCTGCTTCTTCTGAAAGGTATGACATTTGACTCTTTTGTCTATCTTGCAGTTGTAGCGACCCCTCTGCTGGGCACTGAGCAGTGTGCTCGTGGCCCCCCCTACTGGTGTCAGAATGTAAAGACGGCGTCTCTGTGCGGCGCGGTGACTCACTGCCAGCAGAATGTCTGGAACAAGCCTCAGATGGTGAGTGACGATGCCATTCATATTCTTTTGTTTACTCTAAAATGATATTGAAATGTTTCACCAACAGAAGGCACATGCTAGTCTTAAACCTCCGCACATTCCTTATTTGTGTTTGATATTATTTACACTTGACAAACCCACTCGTCTGCTTTCAGAAAACCGTGCCATGTGACTTGTGTAAAGAGGTGTTGATGGTGGTGGAGCAGATGCTGAAGGACAATGGCACTGAGGTAAGATTTAAAATCCCAATCACTTGTGTGTTGAAAAAACATTTGATAAGAAAATGAGTGGTCAGCTAATTTTACCAAGACTTTCACTCCTTTGGAAGACTTATGTGGGAATTGACGTCATTGCAGGCTGAGATTCTTGGGTACCTGGAGAAGGCCTGCCAGCTCATCCCTGATAAAAGTTTCTCTGCCGAGTGCAAGGAGATGGTGGACGACTACTACCCCGTCATTATCGGGATCATTAAAGGAGAACTGGTGAGCACAGTCGACCCGTTTGTCCGAGTCTTGGCCTGTTTTCAGTTTGAATATAGACGGGAAAGCCTGCGGGTGAAGGTCCAGGGTTGTAACAATTAACCAAAATGACTGTTTAGGCACATCACAAGGTGCGTGTTGATAAGGTTGGCATTTACAACTGTATTGGATGCTTTAGATAAGACTTGTTAACGCTTATTGGAGATCAGATCAGACCTCTTTTATGACTCAGTAAATGGTCCATCTGCCCCTCGGTGTCGAAACGGAAAAGAGAAGTGGCTGTTAGCAAAGCGCAGTGAGCTGAATAAGGGCTATTGATGGGGAAGCGAGTCAAAGTCTAAATGGGAACAGAGTAGTCATTGTGTAATACTCAACCTCATGACTGGGAGCATTTGGTGTTGCTTTCTTTGTGTCAACTCTCACCTGCTGCAACTGTGGGAATCAAAGAGATGGTTCTTTACAGATCACATTAAAAGCGTAATTTTGGTATATTGCTAAGTTTTTGTAATGTACAGTTTTGTTTTTTTTACACATCGTCTTTGTTTAGTTTGCCAAGTTTGGAAATTAAGAGTATTGATCAATCTCAACAGAACATGCCATTTCTAGAGATCTTCAAGTGTCATCCATAGTTTAGGCTCAGGTTAGATTATTTACTTCTGCTAACATGTATAAAAGACTTTTGAAATAAATCGCTTGATGATGACATGACCATAAAAATATTCTAGTTGTTGAAGTAACTTAAAGTTGTGTGTGTGTTTTCAGGAGGACCCCAGCGTGGTGTGTGGCGCCATGGGGCTGTGTCAGTCCCAGCAGGCAGCCCTGGCTAAGGCTCACGCCCAGGAGCAGCTCGTGTCCAATGAAATCCCTCAGTTGGACCTTGCCATTCAAGTGTCCCCCTTCCTCCTCAACGTGCCCGGGCTCCTCTATCCTCAGGAGAGCCTAAAGCAAAAGGCCCCCAAACAAGAGAGTCCAAAGCAGGTACACAGTTTACCTGCCCTCAACTATCGCCACCTGTTGACGAGTATCATCTTAATTTGGCCCTGAATCTTGCCTTCCCTGCAGGGAAGTGATGACGTGTGCCAGGACTGTGTCAAGTTCCTGACTGATGCTCAAGCCGAAGCCAAGGCCAACACCTCATTTGTCAACTCGCTCATTGAGAATATTGAGAACCAGTGTGACCTGCTCGGACCAGGCATGTCTGCCCTGGTGAGAGCCCTTTATGAGTGAAGGAGGTTTGATTAAATGCATGCTTTTCTTTATTAAAATCACATAACTTGTTTTTCCTCATTGCAGTGCAAGGAGTATGTCGGCCAGTATGGCGTCCTCGTTATTCAGCAGCTCATGTCCATGGTGAGTGTCCTCCTAATGCAACGAGCTGATTTCAAAAGAAAGGAAAACCTTTTTGTGTTTATGTTTAATCCACGGTTTAACATGACTGGTCAATATAATTAATGACACGCTTAATCATCAATACTAAAGAGTCTGATAACTTGTCGGTTTGCTAGTGCGAAGTTCATATTCGGTCTTGCAGCACCACCTGGCCTGCTGACCTCAATTGATCCACATCTTTAAAATCTCTTTCTGATTTCTGTGTTTTTTTTTTGCCCTGTGTTCCTCCTCCTACCTTTCTCCTCTCCATTAATGTTGTCCTGCTCTGTTTTTCTCCTGCTCTGGCTTTTGTGTGCTGCTCCCCAGGAACAGGTATGTCTTTCCGTGTTTTCTGCCTGTGGCCTCTTAACCCTTTTAGCTCTTGCTGCTTGTGCTGTCCACTCCTAGTGCTACTCCCCTGACCCTGTAGCGATGCATGTAAATGATGACCCTCATTAGAAGGGAGACTACTTTATTTAACCTGAACACTGTGCTTGTGTGGCTAATGTCTTGACGCTTGCATCAAATGAGCATACGGTGCTGTTGTATGTGAAAACCAAGTCATGACTTCCAAGCAGAGTGATTCACTGGTCTTCACTAACATTGAAGTAGCTAGCCCTATTTTGCCAGTATGGGTGTGTGGCTTTGTTTGGTGCTGGCTAAAGTAAGTGGAGTTAGATTTATTTTTTGTGAAATAGAAACCTGTGGATATTGCATGTGGTGGCAATGTTGTGGAATGGTGTGCACACACATGGCGTGCAGTATGGCACTTTATCTAGACCTTTCTCGATGTATTCATAAGTAACGATCTCTTTGTGATCTTAGGAACCCAAGGACATCTGTGTCCACGCTGGCTTCTGTACTGCTGTGAAGAAGTCCATTCCCATGCTGATGCTGCACGCCGCCAAGACTGTACCTGCCGCCAAGACTGTACTTGCTGCCAAGCTTTTCCCCGCCACCAAGATCGAGTCTGCTAAGGTAAGTCATGGTGGGCGCCCGGCTGCTGACTCCTGCCAGTGCTTCATAATGATACAAGATGGACCAGTATTGTACATGCACATGAGACGGTGCCTTCTGTGTTCCAGCCCATGGTGCGAGTCCGTGAGTCCCCCAAGTGTGCCATCTGCGAGTTTGTGATGAAGGAGTTGGAGTCTCAATTGGAGGATCAGAAAACTGAGGTGGGGATTTGCGCTACTAGATGTATCCAATATGGCATTAAAACGACTGTAAACATACTGTTGGACTCTGCTCCAGTGTCGAGCTGATCCATTTGTCTCTGTCTCAGGAGGAGTTGGTTCATGCTGTGGAGAAGGTGTGCACATACCTGCCCTCCTCTCTGAGTGCCCAGTGTAAGGACCTGATTGAGACCTACGGCCAGGCCATCATTGAGCTTCTGGTGCAGCAGGCTGACCCAAAGGCCATCTGCACAGTGTTGGCACTCTGCAATGACGCTAGCCGTGCATTTGTCCGTAAGTTTGCAGTAGATGTTTGATTCAAACTACACAGAAAGCTCAGGATGCGTTTGTTGAATTTTCTATAAAGAATATAAACCATCATCCTAATTTGAGGCAGTTTCATCCTAGAATCTGGCAACATAATGTGCTCCATTTAAAACTGTAACCAGACCGGTGTTTTGCTGATGTTGTATAAAATGTCAAAGTTAAGCTGGCCCCATGTGAGGCTGTGTATGTGTGATCTGTAAAATCAAACTGCTCCGTTAGGTGCGACGTCTTATTGGAATGTTTTTATTTACGTCGGAGGGCCAAAGATGTACTTCCCCGTACGGATATTAACGGTGATTTCTGTTCTAATTCTCTCCAGCTGCACTCGACCAGAAGGTCTTTAAGACTGGTGGCTACTGCGACGTATGCAAGATGGCCGTTGGTTACATCGATGGCATTCTGGAGAAGAATGCAACAGAGGCAGAGATTGAGGAGGCCGTGAGGAAAGTTTGCAGCTTCCTGCCCAAATCTTTTCAGACCGAGGTGATTAGTCATAGTAGTTTGATCTCCTTACCTTGTGTACCTTTTTACCTTTCCTCCTTGTAAACCGTTGTCTTTGTCAACAGTGTGACCAGATGATTCAACAGTATGAACCAATGATGATCCAACTGCTTCTCCAGATGCTCGACCCAGACTTTGTGTGCATGGTAAACTACATTCACTCATAACAAGAACACTTTATCGTTAAGTTTCTTGGTTGTGCCAAGGAAACATGAGTACTCACGTCTGTCATAAGTTGTTGGTATATTTAGCGTGCATGTAGCCAAGTCTATTATCTGAGCAGTGTGTGTGTGTGTGTGTGTGTACGTAACAGAAAATGGGAGCCTGTCCTGAAGCTGTGCGCAGGCTGCTGGGAACAGAGCAGTGCAGCTGGGGACCTGAATTCTGGTGCAAGAACATGGAGACAGCATCTCGATGCAATGTGAGTAGTTCAGTTGTATTTTGACACCTAAAGAGAGGCATTCTTGAGCCTGTTGTAACTATCGCCTACCAATACTGACCACTTGCTTCTGTCTTCTAGGCTGTGGCTCACTGCAGACGGCACGTGTGGGTATAGAGGAAGCACAAACTGACCTGTAGGGAATTAAAAGAGAAATTACTGTCGCGCTGCATCCCACTTTTAATTTTTGTCCCACTTGTTGTTTTTAATGACTGCAGTTTGTTTAAATTAACTTTGATATTTTGAATGATGTCATGGTGGAAAGGGACTGGGCGTTTGTTTTCCTGGGGGGTGTGGCGAGGGAGGAGTGATGTCTGCAGCTCAGCCTTTTACTGCTTCGCTAAGCAAAAGTCCCAAAGCTTCACTGTCGGGCTTTGCCGATTTGCATCATTTAGGTTGTACTTAACAATGTTGCTTGCAGAGTGGCCTATGTAAGGACACAGGTTGTATCATTTTAAATCGGCTGCAGAGTGCTACTTTCCTGATTGGTCTTCAGTGCTACCCCCCCCCCCCCCCCCCCCCCCCCCTTTTTTTTTGATTCCTTCTCACTGGAGTAACTGAACGTAAATGGGAGGAACCGCTCTGTGTTAAGAATATCCAGCAGTACATACTAGCAGTATATCTGATCCCTAAACAAATTATTTTGTAGCGAAAAAATGTGTTTCTGTATTAAGAGGATCTGGAGATAATCGATCCGAGAGTACCTCCCATTGTTTGCACTGTTCCTACTGTTTGTAAATCACTGTTTCTAACGTACAGAGAGCACCTCTAATTCAATTGTCTGCCTCAAGCCGCGAGCCAGCTGTCAGTCGATCTGTACATTTTTAACAATTAAAGTGATCCCAATCCACTTGGTTTCATTTATTTTGTTGTAACCTGACCATAACTCTGCATTCTTATCAAGCTTGTTACTTTACTCTTTCCAAAAGTACACGTTGCTCTTTATATACAACAATGTTCTTGGCCTATAATCTGCAACTTGCATATATACAGCTGACCATTTTGTAAATGACAGTCCCGCTCTAGATTAATTTGTGAAAGAAACATCTGCGTTAATCCATTTAGAGGAATACAGAAGGATGTCTTGAGAATTAAAACCATGTCAAAGATATGTAATATACTACATTAGTGCTAGCCATTTAAGGAATATATATTCCTAAGTATAAAAATGTGTATTTTGATCTCAAGTTACAGATGAAATTAACTACGCCATTGACAAAGCTAAATATTTAATGTAGATGAAGTTTGTGTTTAAGATGGAACATCGAATATTTAAGAAGGTGGCTACTTTCCTTCACTTCTACTGGACTGCAGTCTTTAAGAAATTATTAAAACCAACTTGTTACTGGAAATGTTCAGTTTATAAAGTCTGCTCAAGTTACAAGGTTTACAAACGACACACCATGTTCAACAACAACCGGCTTGTATCGCGTAGCAGAATGTCTCATGTAGCGGCTGTATCCCTCACTCGGCTCTGATGCTTCTTTGCCATCTGCATATTTTATTACAGTGGACCTGAAACGGCACCTTCTGCACAACTGATGTCCCACAAATTGAACCCCTTTGAACCAAATATTTTTTTGGTTCAGTTTTGCAATATGAAAATGTGGTTGCTTAATGTCCCTTATGGACTGTGCTCCTAAGGGCCACATCAGTGTAAACAATGCATATTAATGAGGCTTATCGGTCCTTTCCCTTCATGGCAGACAATTGGCTTTACTGGTGCATTTAGCATCAGTGCTTTGACTCCACTGTCCAGCGACTGTCTGCCGTATAGCTCAACTACACCACAGGAAATGACTAGGTTATTGCTCAACAGCCTGGTCAGATGTAGTGCACAATAAGCACTGAGAAAGCCGATCCCACAGCCAGTCCCAGAGTGAGAAAGAAGGACATGACCACTCCTGTGGCCTCTGCCAGCTCCCGGGGTACGACCTTAGGGCCGTAGATCATTGGCAGAGTGCCGAGGTAGCCATTGGTGAGGCCCAGCAGGCAGTTAAAGACCACGGGGTACATGTCGTTGGTGAAAAGCACAGTGTGGAGGTGGTCCCTTGGCTGGTAGTTGCAGAACATCAGAAGTGGCACCATGACAGAGCGACACAGCACCAGCACAGGCAGGACTCGACTGGTGGGACCAGGGACCTGCAGCCAGGCTGTGGCCTGCCTGCCACAGAAGTCCGCTACATTGTACAGGAGGAAGCTGGTGAGGGGCACAAAATAAGTGGTCGCCCAGGGGCTGCTGCTGTCTTTGTTGACGGACTGGATTCCCGAAGACACTGCGGGGAACACCATGATTGAGACGCAGAAGACGTAGAAGACGCTCACGCCGAGCACCCACGTCTTCCTGAGGATGGGCTGCAGTGGTGGGACGGAGACTCTGCTCCCTGTGCCTGCTGCTCCCCCCTCGCTCATCACCCCTGAACTGGTGCGCGCTGCTGCCTGCATGTAGTATCTAGAGAAAGGAGCGTAACGCAGCAAGTGACTCGTACAACTAAAATCTTTCACTATTAAAACTAAAATGATTGAACCTGTCCCCTAATCACTAGTTTTATCATTAGATTGTAATAATGCTGTCCTAAAGGGTATTTTTCAACCCTATTTTCCCATGTTTTTTTTTTTTTAAGGACTATTTCTGAGGCGAGAGCGCTGTATATGGCAGATGCCACACGGGCTGCAGTGTAATCATTTTGGGGTAATTTGGCACCATCAGTGTACGTCCACTGACGGGCTCTGATTCTGGAAGGAGTCTCGCTCAAGGAGATGTCTCGACCTGAAATCTCGTGAGGTGACGTGTTGCCGGAAGAAACCAGTGGAAAGGCGAGTTGACAGCCAGGCAGAGTTTGTGGTGTTGGGGTACAGAGATCGTAGCTCAGTGTTTTTAAGATATTCAATGTCAGAGCTGCGTATTTAGATGATTTCGACAATGTTTGAATTTGCTGTGACGCTATGACCAGAGGGAAAATAAGTGCTATAAAGAGTGGGACCTTTTGCTGCCTCAAAGATAAAGAAAAACCTTTTATTTCTCTGCAGCGTCCTTTCCATAATAAACGTATAATAACAGAGCCCGTCAGTGGCAAAACAAGCACTTTCAGTGAATGAAACATTACATTGACGCTGCACATTTACCCTTGCAGCTTGTTTTCACGGCTGATGATTACAGTGTTAGCCCTCAATACTGGACCCACTTAAAGAAAATGAATCACTTAGACACCAAAACATGAGAAATAACTTATTTACCTTTTAATCTTTAAAATGGCTTTTTAATGTCATTAGTCCAACTGTTAAATGCATCATTAAATAAAGACAAAAAAAAGGTGTTTATTGCTAGTGACCTTCATCAAACAGGATCTGCAAAATCAAAATGCACAAACCCAATAACTGGAATAGGTAAGATTATTTATTACAATGAATATTAAATAATTTGACCCCACTTTGTGTCGGATTTGAACACTTCTAACGTTGGCACCATCTGGTGGTGGTGGTGGGAGGAATACACTGTGGCTGATAGAATGCACACTGCTTAACTGTGATCTATAGTAGTGTAAATTTGACATGACAAGGGAAAGGTGTAATCATAACCTATATTTGTAATATTAGAATGCAGGGTGATGGATGCATCTGTATTGGAACCATAACCATCTTTGGCTGCTACCGACCTTGAATATGCCAGCTTTGGCAGCAGCAGATATGCGATGATGCAGAGCAGGATGAAGACGTCGGCTGTCAGGAAATAGACCAGAGCGCTGTCTGTCACATCCTTCGCCACTGCCAGGTCCACTATCGATGCTACTGCACTCAGCGTGCCTCCCATGCCCTGGCCTGAGACAACAAAGGACCTCCGCTAATGTATTGTGCAGTCAGTTCAAAAGAGACATACATCACATTATTTCATCAGTAAACCCTTAACGAAGCTGCTAAATAGTGCATATTTAGGATATTTGTACAATGGTAATGTATAAAGACAATATGACCTGACAGAGCCGTACCTGATATGAGAGCCTGAGAAATCCTCATGGGGAAATACCCACTCATCCCGAACACGCTGCCAGAGAAGAGGTTGGACGCTCCACTGACCACGGCCACACTGGCCAGCGTGCCGATAAAGAAATCCGTCCTGCAGTCCGACACATCCACCTTCACCAGCACCGTGGTCACCACAAACACCAGCAGGATGACGAAAAGAGAGGAAAGGATCCGCACGTTTGAAGATAACCTACCAGCGCCACATACACAGAGACGTACAGGGACAAGGCAGGAGTTCATCAAAGATCGGTCGATCAACTTAAACACAAACAGAAGCACATGTTTGGTGCTGTGGGACAAATGTGAGACAGTAAGCCATTAATTATCCACACGTCTTCTGCTGCAGGGGTGCTGTTCAAAATGACAATCTACAAGGGCATTGATAGGACAAATGTGACACTGTTAACACCCAAACATCCCGAGACAAAGAACCATGTGAAATGAATGTACTTTGGTGTGTGTGTGTGTGTGTGTGTGTGTGTGTGTGTGTGTGTGTGTGTG